CACATGACTGCAGGTGGTTCCTCGCTAATTGCTTTAATTCATATCAGACTCTTTTATGTGAGAAAACGTAAGTCATAATGATTTTTCATTTGTTCCACAGATGTCTGTATTTATAACCACACTTTCATTAAGCGAGTCTCTGCCTCGTATAATTAGTTCCTTCCTGTACGCCGCTGTAAAAGTCTCATTAAAAAGAGGCAGAAGTCGCCTGATAACACTCTCCCTCTGTGTAATTAATGGTCTTACTCACGAGCCGCTGAGCTGACAATGAACCGCCCGCTTCTGAACCACTCGCCCAGAGAGAGGCTGAAATATCCGCTTGCGAGCCATCTGCTTCACTGTACGGGGGATCCAGTGGGAATGTCTGATTTTACATGCGGAAAAATGTTTGCTTGTAGTCAAGACCACCTAAACCGAGACAAAGTCAAGACCAAGACCAGTGTGTGTCGAGACCAAGATAAGACCAAGGCAGGGCGAGGCTGAGTCAAGAAAAAATCCAAAAAAGTCTAAAAAATCCACACTTACTGCCTGAGAATTTTCTTCTATTTAATCAATAAATTATATAATTAGAATAATTAGACACTATATATAGAGCTGTTATCAATCAAATGAAATCACTAACAACAGAAGTCATCTTTGCACTGCAGAGGTGGCACAGAAGTTGCATCTGAATCAGTACAATTACAACTGTATAAATAATGTTGAGATTAATGTTTTGGAAATAAAATTTTGTTTACCATTTTTTTATATATATAGTATATCAGTCTGGCGACTGTGGCGAGTAAAGAAAAAAATTACTTGCCAATGGCGATTCTTCTACCAAGGTGTGCGTAGAGGGTTGATTCTCTTCAGAGTCGATGGTCTATATGGTCTATGTATAAGACTTTAGCGATTTTCTTCGGGACATTCCTTAAAAATTAAATTCAACCATGGTGTCCTTAGTGGCTCGGATGCCGGGAGTCTATAGAGACTCTTATGTTCGTTGGTACATCCAATAACAGAACATTTGTAATGTTTTTTGTGAATTTTGCATAATAGGTCCCCTTTAATTATATCATACAACATTATAGTATAAAAACAAGATCTCATACAAGTACTTTTTTGAAAGTATATCTTGAAATTTGTGAGCATTTGTATTAATTGGTGAAATTTTTTATTCAATCCCCTGTTAATTTCTGACCTGGCACAACAGTTACAAAAGAAATCAAATTAGAAATAAGATATTGATTGCATTTGAAGCAGGATGTTTTACATCCAATCACATTAAAGGTGCTGTATGTATTTTTTGTGGACTGCACTAAAGCATGAAAATACCATACTATGTTTGCAGATATTTAGGAAACATGCTAGGTTCAAATAATTGTTTCTCCCAAAAACAACGCTACTGCCAGTTATTCTACTTTGAAATGTGAGTTCCATGCCAATTTACACAGTAACATTTGACACCCGGGGTTGGCAGTTGGCAGAGAAAACAGCGTATTGCAGCTGTGAAAGCCAGCAAACGAACTTGGTCAGAGATCACAAATTCTACAAGACCTAAAAAACACCGGTGTAAGGTATTTCACTATTGTCAATTGCACTCGTTCCTGTTGCGTGTCATCAATCTGACCATCCGCGTGACTATCGAGTCTGAGGAGGAGGGGGCGGGGCAAACAACTCTCCAATATTTTGAATTTGGACTTCAGTACCCATTTCAATTGCTAGCTGTCAATATTACATAATGCATCTTTAATGATGTTAACAAATAGATCAGACAATGCACTGGCAATTTAGTCACATCCCCACAATTGTGGTCTTGAAATAAAATCTCTCTTAGACTGAGCAAGACAAATGCAGTTGAGACCGAGACAAGACCAAGGCCTTTAAAAAATAATCTTGAGGACACTAACAAAAATACTAAGTAAGAAAATATTTTTTTACTATATGATCTGATGATGAAAATGAACAATGCTGGACAATGAAAATGTTAATATAGGCAACTACTAGGTAACTATATTAAAGTTCCCCTGTAGTCAATCATTTTATTGTATTGTATTTATTTATTTGAGCACTTTTCAGGCTACACAGTAGCTCAAAAGTGCTGTATATTACAAGTGAATAAACAAACATCCATTAAAAAGTTAAAACGCAAGAGAGAAAAAGGCAAGCTGTTCCATAATCTTGGGCCAGTAACAGCAAAAGCGCAGTCACCTTTAGATTTAAGGCGCACTCTTAGGATTAATGATAGCTTATTTGAGTATCTCAGCATTACATTTGAATTATATGGCTTAATAAACTCAACCAAATAGTATGGCGCTATTCCATGCAATGCCTTAAAAACATATGTCAAGACTATGTATTGGATCCTGTAATGCACTGGTAGCCAGCCTAATGATGATAACAGTGGAGTAACACGATCAGTCTTCTTAGCCTTCATAAGCATTCTAGCAGCGGCATTTTGCACTAGCTGAAGACATGCAACATGAGTCTGGCAGGTCCCGGAATAAATAACATTACAATAGTCTAAATGGGAAAAGATAAAAGTATGGATGACTTTTTCTAAGTCACTAGTTTAAAAGAAACGCTTTTAATTTGGCTATTGCCCTCTGATAAAAGAAACAATTCCGAACTACAGTTTTTATTTGTTTATCGAACTTCAGCGATAAATCAAAAATGACTCCCAAGTTCTATACTCGGCCCTGTAGGTAGCAAGCCCAAGGGCCTAAGATATCACTTTCAGCCTTATTAAAAATTGAACGACCAAAAAACATAATTTATCTTTTTCTTTCCACTGAACAAGATTGTCAGCCATCCAATCTTTAACTTCATCCAGACACCTATGGGGTGTTGCACAGGAAACATTACAATTAGGTCTTAAAGGCAAATAGATCTGTGTGTCATCCGCATATAGATGGTAAGAAATACATTTTTTTTTTAAATCATTCACAAGGGGAACATATATAATAAAAACAAAACGGGGCCCAAAATGGACCCTTGTGGGACCCCACTGTTGATAGGGGCTGGATAAGAAAAACAATTACCACCCTTTACTGTAAAAGATCTTTGCTCTAGATAAGATGCAAACCATGTAAAAACCTTGAATAGCTTGAATGTAACTCTAGACCCTTGCTTCATTTAGTATACGTGGAGCCATGAACATGCAAATTAGCCCCGCCTCCACTCACTCACACCGGCTCAGAGAGTCACTCAGCCAACTTTACTGTAGTAAACGCTGCAGAATCGTATTGCTCTTTACAACGTCGGACACATAATGGTAATTAATATGATTAGCCTTTTAATGTTACACAAACCATGTTCCCGTTCACCATCTCAGAGTCAAACAACTGCCTTCTAAAAATCAGCATCCTTAGAAACATTCTGAACAACTTAGAACGTCAGCGGAGAAAGATATAGTTCATCATAACATCGTAATAAACATAATATACATAATTCACCTGCTATATTGCTAAATGTACATAATTTTTCATATCAACAGAAAAATATATTGGGATAACCTGGCTTCTCTTGAGACACCCCTGCTTCACACAGCATAGTAATGATATGCTAAAGCCCGCCCGTACATTGACGATTGGTTACAAGGTAGCTTGTGACGTAAGAAACACAGGCGATTTCCAACCGTGTTTTTCAGACTGTCTTTGGTTCACTGCAGTTTTAAGGGGAAAATACTCAGCAATGGTGTTGACTTATGAATTTGCACATGGTTTGTCTTAAAGCATAATAAAAACGCCACATAGACATATAAACAACAATTAAAACGTGATTGTCACCACAGGGGGGCTTGTCACCACAGTACAAGCTTCACATTTCTGTATTAAAACCCTCCAGCACACCTGCCTGCTGCCATAGACACTATAGACATTAAGGTAAAAAGTATCCTGCAATATTCCGATAATTTGTGCATATGTTACTGTGCTGCAGGGTTTTGCTCGCGAGATTTTTTCAGCATTTCTCTTCAGCGAGGCAAACGAGATAAGCTTCTCCGGCAATCTTCCACAGTCAGTATCTGTTAAATGTGCAGTAGATAAGGTCGACTCTACTCCACCGGCTCCAAACGCGTTTTCTGCTCCTCCATTTAAGACTCATAATGGTCTCACTCAGTGAGCACGGCCGGGTCTCATTCCCTGCTCAATTTTCACCCTCTAACAGGCAATCTCCTGATGTCTCCCACAGGTCTTCCAGCACAAACTCAAGGCAGGATCTGAGTTGGAATCTGGGTTGCTCAGCTCCTCAGTCAAAACCTGCTCTTTCATTTGTATCATTTTGCACAATCCAAATATAGCCTCCACTTCCCACACCTGTGAGCCTGTCCTGGGATTAGATGATGATCTATCCAGAGTTCAAGTTTAGAAGTCCACACCCACTGAGTTCAAGAGATCAAATACTGTGCAAATACTTAAAAGATATTCATATATATATAAATTACTTAATTGGCATTAAAATAATGATGTATTTTCTACATATTTTTATGGCAGTTCAGTATATGTATATGATACTGTATTTATAATATGTATTTTTTTTATATTACAGCAATGGTATTTTGACTTGAAATGCTCCCTCATTTTCTATATTCAATGTAATTTTTGTTCTTGAAATATTAGACAGTTTTTGTGACAATCAGCCATGCACATTTTCACTACAGTCTCTTTTTGCTTATGTTTAAATGCTAGAGTTGACATAAATTATCTTAGCCAGGGCCAGTAAAGAAACTCAACCAAGCCTCGCAATTTACTCTCATTTCCCTGATGCTTTATCAGGCGTGAAGCGGAAACACACTGATATGAGCCATGAGCATCATTTAAAAATCCATGGAACATCATGTCTTTTTATTTAGGCCGACTTTAATAGTCCTTTTTCTAGGGGGAAAAAAGTTTAGAGTGGATGCCAAGATTTTTGTAAAATTTTTACCCTACATATGAGCAGTAAGAATAGAATAGAATAGAACATTTATTTTGTCTAAAAAGGCGCGTTTCAAGCTTAATCGATTTTCATTTTCTTTCTAGGTATGACACCATCACTAACCAGTGGGAGATAGTGGCTTCTTTGCCCAAACCTGTCCATTCTGCAGCAGCAACTGTCTGTGGAGGGAAGATCTATGTGTTTGGAGGGGTGAATGAGGCCGGTCGCTCTGCTGGAGTGCTTCAATCATATGTGCCTCAAACCAACGCCTGGAGCTTTATTGAGTCGCCTATGATCGGTAAGAGCACTGCGGATAATTACCGAGCCACCTGACTATGTTGTTCACCTACTGTCTTCTGTATTTTGTGTATATATATTCTAGCGTTTTGAAAACTTTGGGGTCAGTATGATTTTTTTTTGTAATACTTTGATCCAGAAATGATGCGGTAAAATGATTAAATGTGGCAGTAATAATTGCTATTCTTTTGAACTTTGCCTACATAAAATATCCCCCCCAAAATGTATCATAGTTTCCACAAAAATATGAAGGGATATCTTAAATGATTTTTTCAGCCTATTAGAATGGTCTGAAGGATCATGTGACACTGAAGACTGGAGTAATGATGCTGAAAGTTCAGCTTTGCATCACAGGAATAAATCATAAAATATGTTGAAAGAGAAAACAATTATTTTAAATTGTTATAATATTTCATAATATTACTTCTGGCCGGATGGTGCTAGCAGCATGCTATCTCCTTTGTCAGATGGCTCAAGAGACAGCACATCCAGATCCAACAGATCACTCAAACTGGTTACTGAAGAACATGAAAGAGCTATGCCTTTTACGAATTCCTCAGCCAGCTCAACCTGTGATCCTCACGACACTAACCTCCATTGTGCTTTGGCTACAGCAGGGTTACTCTCGAAAATTAAGTCCAGCGTGAATGGAGCTTCCTCACTCAAAATGGGCGCATTCAGAACCCTCAAGAACTGAACGTGCATGCTCCTCACCCAAACATCAAACGCACAGATCATGTGTGTCCTCCAATGTAAAAAAACTGGGACACGGAGGCACACCTGAAATGAGTTTTCCATACTAAATCTTCCCCCGGTAGTTAAAACTGTTAGGCCCGATAATCCGGCAGGATTCGCCAGGCTCGGTTGCATTTGCCAGACTCGGGATAGATTGAATAATTTGTGACATTGAAAATGACATTGTTGCCTTAAAATCCTTAAGATGTCATCTACTTAAAAAAAAAAAAAAAAAAAAATTGTATGTTAATGTTAGGTAGTTTTAAAGAACTAACAAAATGTTTAATGAAAAAGAAAATTTCAGGAGCCTCCTCAAGTAAGCATGCCCTAAAAGATGGACAGATTATTGACAGAAAGAGAGATGAAAAGGGGAAAAGACAATGACACGTATGGTTAGTCAGATAGATCTCAGAAATCTCACACTGATACCATTTACTCTGGTAAATGTTGACATTTGGAAAGTACCTTATAGTACCGATATTATGGTTTTTCGAATATTCCCTTTCATGCAGAGTGTAATAAAGCTGTTTGCTAATGTAAACGATCTGAAAAGTTGTAAAGTTGAAAGTGCACAATAAATAAAGTTATTGTCTCCCAAAAGAAATAATCGACTCTGAACCGCCTTTACGAGTCGTTTGGGTTTCAACCTACGGTTTACGTCACTAGGAGATACATTTGCATAATGCCCGCCTATGGTTGTACGTTGTCCGCCCGCAAACAACTTGACCAGCCCACAACACGTCACTTTATTGACGACTGCTTCTCAAATCTCGGAATTCAATGTGGGATTCGCAAAACGCTTGCTCTATAAATATGGGTCAGTACTCAGTCTATTTGGACCAACTTGCTCCTCAGAATCACAACCTGTAAGTATGATTAATTATTGGTGTATATATTGTGTATGGGGTGTTCAAAATACTTAGTTTTGTGTTTTATATTGTGTAAGTTCCCGGCTAACCGGCTTAGTCACGTTATTACAGTCTTGCTGAAAGAGTTCTGCTAAGCAACCAACGCTTACCAACGTTTATGATACATCAGTCATTTATGTTAGAGGTCGGCTAACGTATGCACCATTATTGATGCGGTTCCTGCATGTTCACCGCAATAAATTTGAATTATACACATCGGTTTGTTGATTGACATACACTTGTTAATGCTGATGGTGAAGAATTACAGTTGAAACATCTCATAATGTACCCCAAACTGAGTAGCGTATCTCTGAGAAACTTCCTTAAGTCGCCCTTGCAATGGAGGTTGAGGTTAAATAACTAGTTCTTCGAATGTTTCATCTTCAGACTCGCGCTCAGATTGATATGGTAAAATCGACGTCATCGTTTGTTACTGTCTTTAGTTTACGGTGTACAATCGCTAAGCTGTAGAAAGCCTCCGGATGGAGCTGAAGCTATGTTTTTATTTCCGACACGTGCTGTACGCAGAATCACAACAGACTGAGCTGTCTGGCCAATCAGAGCAGAGCGGGCTTTCGGAAAGGAGGGATTTAGAGAGACTGATTCATCAGGCGAGTCGTTTGAGAATCAATGAAAAATGTGGTGATGTGCAATGTATGTTATGAGAAAATGTACCTTTGATGCATGTAAATCTGTTGTAGGAGACTTCAAAAACGAAATTAGGAGACTTTAAAATAGCATAATTGGGGCACTTTAATTTGTTTGCTTTTGGGCCTGCTCTTTTATTCCCCCATCTCTGTCCGAAGCGAGCTGCAAGCCATCTTTTGATGAACGTTTCAATCTCTATATCCGATGCACTGGCAGTACTTGCATTTCTTTGCACTGATAAAAAAAAAAAGATCAATCGCAATAATATAGACTTTTACAAATCTTTCACCATCAACAAAAGCCATATTTACAATGCAAAGGTGGAACAGAAGTTGCATCTGATATGGCATTTATGCTCATTTACACAGACTATGTAATGCTGTTCATGGACATGTATTTACAATTCTACATTCTACATCACAATTTAAAATTCTAATGCAAATAAAAAATTAATAATTAAAATACCGGTAATCATAAAAGTAAAAGTAATCATTACTGTCGATTAATAGATTGCTTCTGTGGTGGAAAAAAAAAAACATGTCATATTCTGGCTACAGACGAAGCAATAAGAACCATTTATGAATTTATTAGAAAATTAAGACTTCACATTGGTTAGTTTAGTAGCTTGTGTCCTGCAGAGTTTAGCTCCAAACAGCTCCAGAACACCTGCCTGGAATTTTTTAGTAATCCTGGAGACTTTGATTAGCTTATTAGTTGTGTTTAATTAGGGTTGGAGCTAAATTCTAGCACTATGCCAGCCAACTCATGATTATAATTTCATTATATAAACATTACTTCTATATTTTATGTGTAGTACTGTTCAGTAAAATTGTATTAGATGTCGCAGTTACAAATTTAGTTTGTTAAGAAAAAATGTAAACATATTAATAGGAATTCAAATGTAAAAATACACTAATAAATAACATAACATTGACAGGGAAAGGATATTACGTTTAAGTTTAAGGGTCACTGCTACATACAATTTACCACATTGTAAAAAGAGACCCACCCCCAGCACCTAAACTGGCCCGGGTCTGTATGGACATATTTCACCCAAAATCAGACCAGCCCTTATGGTCCATAATGGGGCCCAATGTGGCTTAATGTGCCGTATCTCAGTGCAAATCAGGCCAAATCTGCACATCCAAAGCCAATTCTGGCATCCATTACTGGGCCAGAGCTGGCTCACTTTTGGTGAGCCCCTGGCAGAACACGGCCCAGTGAGGCGACACTCAGCCGCAATTGGCCCGATTGCGCTGGCTACCTGGGTCTTCACACACGCTACAACAAACAAAAGGCTCCTAAAGACAAAAAAGATAATTACATAAATTGCAGGCGCCCTCTTATACTCATAGGCGCATCGGTACTAGAGACATCATTACCTGTCGTCACTCGTCAGCCAATAAAATTGCGGTGTTTACACACGTTACACACTGATGACGTTACCCATAATATCAATCCAAGACGCAATGTCTCATTCCCCTTCTCAGGAAACCAGGGTTACAGTCGTAACATGAGATGTTTTTACCTTGGTGAGCCTTGGTGAGTATGAGAGACTTCTTTCAATAAGACTTCTTAATTCTTATTTTTGAACGGAATATATACAAATAAAATGTGCAGAAATATATTTTTACATCATGTCCCACATCAGATACATTTCATGTCTAAAGTTTTTCGTTAGACAGTGTTGAAACTATGAGAAAATAACTTGGAATTTCAGTAGAAGTTGACTTCATTAGTATTTGGCATTTTGACACTCTCCAGAGATATTGAGGTTGTGGGTAGAGGGACGCTTAAGGGGGAAGGAACTTTTTTTTCAACCTGTAACTCGGTGGCAAATGCAGCCCTGAGGGACTCACAGTGGGTGCAGGACTGAGGCGTTTCACTATAGCTAGAAAGCAAGCATTTCCCCATTAGTGCAGAAATAAGTGTGGATTTAAAAAAGACACACTGCCATGAAAACAGCTTTATCTGCCATTTTTAGTGAGTAAAATAAGTTATTTTGGATATCCACCTGACTGCTGCATGAAATATCTTTCTCTGAGACGATAAGAAGACACTTGACGTTTAATATACGCCTACAAGTTCAAATTAAAATGAGTTTAAAAGTCTTAAAATGTGAGTTTGATCAAATTTAAGATCATAAAAAGTCTTAAATATCTTAAATGGTATAACATAAATCTTAATAATAATAAAATAAAATAAAAAATATGATTGAAATAAACTTGAGCACAAAGTAAAAACGTGACGCTGGTGTGCGTTCAACTTTGTCGCCATTTCAGAGCAGTTTACAGTCCATGAATTTATGCCAAGTGATTGCTTATTGATCTACTGTTGATGAATTATGTTTATTGTATGGTGTTTCTATTGTAGTATGTTGTAGATAGTTATAGTAGATAGTAGATAGTAGTATGATAGTAGATAGAGTGCATATTTTATCTCCCTCATATGTTAGAATGAGCAGCTGGGAGTGGTATAGTGCAGACATTTAAAAAAAGTCCCAGTGTATTTTGAGCTTGTTTAATTTTTTTTTTTTTTTAAATCATTCAATATGTACATTTTACTAGTAATGGCACAGTAATTTGTTGTTCTTTAAACACATTATTGTTGTATCTGCAATCTGCAGTATCGGTTGTCCAGTATCAATTTCAGTGTCAGCAAGTTTACCTATAGATTTGGAAAGCTTGTGGTATATTTTTTCTTGCCGCAT